AAACAAAAAAAAAAAAAAAAAAAAAAAAAAAAAAAAAAAAGAGAGAGAGAGAGAGAGAGAGAGAGAGAGAGAGAGAGAGAAATCAGTCAACAGAATCAGATCCATAGCTGACTGGTGTTGTCAGCAGAAGACAAGGTATTTACTATATCCACAACGGGCTGGAGAGCCGGCTCAGAGCTTGAGAGCACTGGCTGCTCTCGCACAGGACCTGGGTTTGATTCCCAGCACTCACAAGGTGGAGCACAACCATCTGTAACTCTAGTCCCAGGGGATCCAACACCCTCTGCTGACCTCTGCAGGCACCAGGGACACATGCGGTGCACAGGCATACATGCAGGCAAACACTCATACATATAAAATGAAATTTAAAAAAAATAATAAAAATCTATGATAGATATCTGGATAATTCTGCAAACCTGAGCACCAGAGAGCCTAGTGGTTCAATTCCTGGAATCCACAGGGGAGGGAGAGAGATGCCTCCTGAAACCTGGCCTGTTTTCCGTACGTGCTCCCACCATCAAACACACACATAACAATAGTAAAGAAAATAAATAAATTAAAAAATTTTTTAAAGATTTATTTTGTTTTCCAAGACAGGGTTTCTCCATAGCTTTGGAGCCTGTCCTAGAGATCCGTCTGCCTCTAGCTCCCAAGTGCTGGCATTAAAGGCGGGCACCACCACCACCCAACCAAAACTTTTAAAGAGATATGTGCTCATGAGTGGTACACCAACAGAGGCCAGAAGAGGGTGCTGGGTCCCCTGGAGCTGGAGTTGCAGGCAGTTGTGAGCCACCTGACAGAGGTGCAGGGACTAGAACTTGGGTCCTTAGAAAGAGCAGTTATGCACACTTAACCACTGAGCAAGCTCTTCAGTTCCCTAAAAAAATCTTTTAAAAGAATCATTTGGGGGGACTGGAGAGATGGCTCAGAGGTTAAGAGCACTGACTGCTCTTCCAGAGGTCCTGGGTTCTGTTGCGAATTAGGTCGGTACGATAAATAACAAGGCCAGCTCAAGAATAACAGTTATATTTTAATGGTTAAAAAGGGGAAACTCACCCTACAAGAGTGGGAGGTCCGATGTCCTATCTGTCCAGCGGGCACAGCGCAGAGAGAGCAAGCACACCTGAGTCCTCCCCGTTTTTTCTCCCTGGGGTCCAGGTTGCCACACCCTTAATTAGATGTGATTGGTTGACAGAGTTTCCCCATCAGAGTTCAATTCCCAGCAACCACATGGTTGCTCACAACCATCTCTCTTTCTCTCTTTTTTTTTGTAATATATATATATATATTTAATATATATATTATGTATACAATATTCTGTCTGTGTGTATGCCTGAAGGCCAGAAGAGGGCACCAGACCTCATTACAGATGGTTGTGAGCTGGGAATTGAACTCAAGACCTTTGGAAGTGCAGGCAATGCTCTTAACCACTGAGCCATCTCTCCAGCCCCCTCACAGCCATCTATAATGAGATCTGGTGCCCTCTTCTGGCATGCAAGCATACATGGAAGGAATGTTGTATACATAATAAATAAATAAATCTTAAAAAAAAAAAAGAATCAGTTGGGCTAGACATGGTAGTACATGCCTGTAATCCCAGCTTTTAGGAGGCTAAGGCACAAGGATTGCTTGGTAGGAGTTCAAAGCCAGCCTGAGTTAGACAGTGAATTCCAGACCTATCTAAGCTACAATAGAGATCCTGTCTCAAGAGAAAAATAATACAAAAACAAACAAAACAAGAGATCAACTAGGATTGATATACTATGTGACAAGATGGAGAATGTGAAGAGACATAAATTGTTTATAAAAAATCAAAGGGTGTCGGGCAGTGGTGCCACACACCTTTAATCCCAGCACTAGGGAGACAGAGGCAGGTGGATCTCTGTGAGTTCAAGGCAGCCTGGTCTACAGAGTGAGTTCCAGGACAGGCTCCAAGGATACACAAAGAAACCCCGTCTCGTAACAAAAACAAAAACAAATAACCAAAAAAGGAAATCCTGAAAATAAAGTCTCATTAGACGTGGGGCCAGTGAGACGGTTTAGCAGGTGAAGCTACTGCTGCTAACCATGAACATCTGAGTTCAACCCTCTGAACCCCCAGAATGAGAGGAGAGAATCAACTATTTCAAGCTGTCCTCTGATCTCCACTTGTGCCATGGCATTCCTGTGTGCACACACGTACAAAATAAATAAAATGTGATTAAAATATTTAAAATTCATTAGATAGAACTAACGAAAGATTGTACAAAAAATTAACCAATTTTGAAGAAAAGCTGACTTAAACTGAAGCGCAAGGGAAAAAAGCATGCTTTTAAACACTGGGCCGGGGTGACCTCCTGACGGGTATGTGCTCTGCAAGAATGCAGTCTGGGCCCCAGGCCATCACCGTGTGTAACTGCCGTTCCAGGCAAAGAAGACAGTGGGCCAAGAACATTTCCCATTTCCCCTCGACACATTGTTTTCCTTCAAATTTGATTTCAAAACAAAGCAAAATACACTTTTTTGTTGTTGTTTGTTTTTTGAGACAGGGTTTCTCTGTAGCTTTGGTTCCTGTCCCAGAACTAGCTCTTGTAGACCAGGCTGGCCTCGAACTCACAGAGATCCGCCTGCCTCTGCCTCCCGAGTGCCGGATTAAAGGAGTGTGCCACCACGCCTGACAGGAAAACCTACTTTTAAAAATTATTCATTTTATGTGTATGGGTGTTCTGCCTACAGGCAGGTCTGTGAGCCAAATGCGTGCCTGGTGCCCAAAGAGACCAGAGAGGGAGCTGGATCCTTGAGTTATAGATGGTTGTGAGCTGCCATAGAACCTGGGTCCTCTGGAAGAGCAGCCAGTGATCTTAACCACAGGGTCATCTCTCTAGCCGCGGAGAAACTATTCCTCTTGGAACTAATCTCTAGAGTTTCATGAAAGTCTGAGCTGCCTGGGAAAGGGGATATTCATTTCCAAGTCCTTCTAGTTCCCAGAACACAGGGTAAGGCCCAACTGAGGGCATGTCAGAGAGCCCCCTGCCCAATACCTTAAAGACAGAACAGACATCGCAAACCACAACAAAAACTCCAGCTTCCCCCAACAACCACTGCATTATTAAAACCTGTCTGCCAGTTTCTGGTTTGTCTACTTGTCTGTGTGTATGTGTGTGTGTTTGTCTGTAGCCCAGGCTGGCATGAAACCATTGATGCTCTGCCGGGGTCACAGGAGTACGGCGCCGTGGCCAGCTTTACCGCAGTGTCTTTAACTCAGAGCATCATGGCCACTGCTCAACACAGAGACAAGGCACACTGGAACAGTTCGAAGACACTGAACACGCATCAGAATAGAGTCACAGATGGCAGAAATGTTGGAATTACTTTAAAACCGACTGCTGCCGAGGGACGCGGTAGCACACATCTGCAACCCTGGGACTCAGGAGACAGAGACAGGAATAGTAGGAGTTCAAGGTCTTCCTCAGTGTGGTGGCTGCGTTGGTTGTCAACTTGACTGCAGCTGAAATTAGCTCAAACCCCAGACTGGCTGGGCACACCTGTGAGGGAGTTTTGCTTAATTAAATCATTTGCAGTGGGAAAATCTACTATTAATCCAGATCTTTTTTAAAAAAAAAATAAAGATTTATTTATTATGTATACAGTATTCTGCCTGCATTATGCCTGCAGGCCAAAAGAGGGCGCCAGATCTCATTACACATGGTTGTGAGTCGCCATATGGTTGCTGGGAATTGAACTCAGGTCCTCTGGAAGAGCAGCCAGTGCTCTTAACCTCTGAGCCATCTCTACAGCACTCATCGAGATCTCTCCATATGTATTCATTCTATAAATTCTGTTACTCTACAGCACTCTGACTAATAATAGACTCAGCTACATAGTGAGTTCAAGACCAGCCTGTGATGAACTAAACTGTCTCAAAAAATATAACTTACTGACTAAAGTCATATAGTGTATGGGGTGGCGGAACAAGGAGGCAGAGGCAGGTGGATCTCTATGGGTTTGGGGGGTCAACCTGGTCCAAATAGCAAGTTACAGGCAGCCAGCCAGGACGAGAGATTCTTTCTCTAAACCAAAACCAAACAAGCCCCCAGGCATATAAAGCCCTCAGTTTAAAGCACAAAGGGGTATGATGGGGTGCAGTAGAGGCTTGCTTTGCATGCATAAAGGGCTTCCTCCCTCTGCAGTGGCCTTAGGTGACCCATGAAAATGGTTCCCTACTCTCTCAACCTAGAAT